GAGTGTGAGGGGAGGGGGGTGGGGGAGTTGAGTGTGAGGGTATGGTTGGGGGGGAGTGTTTGTTGAGTGAGGGGGTTAGGTGGGGGACGGGCATAAGACATGGCATTAAGTTGACGCTTATGAATAGTTGGCCTGATTATGGCTGCTATACTAACTAGGTAAAGACTACTAAATAAATATTTTATCTCATCTTATTGTCATATCATAAGGTATCTTATCACATTTAACATTATCTTACCTTACCTTATCTGATTTTGTCTTATCCTGCCATATCTTAAAGGCCCTATATTTTATTTGACCATTATTTACCTATCGTATCTAATCTTATCTTGTCTTACCTAGTCATAACTTAATAACTCATCTTATTTTGTCTCATCTCACCTTAACATATTTTATCTAATCTTATATCTTAATTTATCACAGCTTGTCCCATCATATCTGATTTGATTTCATAATACAATAATAATAATATCTGATCCTGTGTTATCTTATCCTATCATATTTGTTTTATCTTATTATACATTATCTTACCCTGTCTAAACTTACCTTATCTTATCTAATTCTATCTTGTCCGATAATATCTCCTCTCACTTAGTTTTAGCAAAAGTTTTACAGCACTTGCAAGACAATAAGATCATATAGATGCCGAAGATAAGAAGTGTTGTTACAAGAGAGTAACAAACATAAAACAGAAGGAGGAGAGATCAGGACGATAGACGTTTGATAGGAAAGAAGGAGCAAACCACACCAGAGCACCCGCCAACCACCCACATCTTATCTCATATGACAAACATACAAAACGGTCATCACCTGACTTTCTCCTGTCTGGCGGTCACCTCTGCGGTGTGCGAGCCGCGGTCCTCCATCAGGTACTTAGCCTGTCTCTCACAACGATTAAACCGCTCAGAGCCAGCCTCCACTTTCCTCTTGAACTCATCAAACTTGCTGCGTAAAATCTGGGAGAGAGAAAAATTTTACCAATTAATCCTCAATCTTCATAAATGGCTGCCTAAGAAGGATAGTGGGGATCAAGTGGTACGATCGAGTCACAAATACTCAACAGTGGGAAAGAACAAGCCAAAGGCCAGTACAGGAAGACATACAGATGAAGAAATGGAAATGGATTGGGCACACCCTGAGGAAACCCCCCGACAAGCATCATCAGACAAGCTGTGACGTGGAATCCAGAAGAAAAACGTAAGAAAGGAAGACAAAAGATGACACGGAGGCGAGCGGTACAAGCGGAAATGGAAAAGCCGGGGACATCATGGAAACAGCTAGAAAAGGATGCACAGGAGAAATGTTGTTGACGGCCTATGCTCCTCTGGGAGTTAAAAAGGGCAAAACAGAGAGAAGAGAGAATCCTCAATCACATTTTAAAAGTATGAATGTCCCACAGTTAGAGGTAAAAATCGACTACTGTTAATAGATGCAGAAGCGACAACTGTATTTATTGAACATTACATTTTTTTCTGTAACTCTTTTCACTACCAGACTATTTTCCTCACTGTTGCCTATCCACTTTGGCAGCCATTTCACTGTCTGACTCATCAAAAACAAAACTATTTCCCAGTTTGACTGCTCAAAAACAAAACTATTTCCCTGTCCGACTCATCAAAACAGAAAAGTAATCTGGATGTAAAATAGTGGTTTGTCTTGGTCAGCAGATGAGGCTGTTTCTGTAATGAATGCATTTACCCAGCTGCAAAATTTGTCTCAGGGTATGGTTATAGTTTTTTGTTTTAGTAAGGTTTTAGGCGCTCGCAACTGCATAGGCCTAAGGTCATATGAGCGCCAAGGGGCCGATGTCAACAGAGAAGTCCAAACAGGGAATCAGGCTTACTCTGCTCACCTCTCTCACCTCAACAGCACAAAGTCTGCTTCCACTAGCAATTCACAAGAGAGTGACAAGTGTACAAAAAAGGTAGAGGCAAAAATGACGATGGTAAGGATGAGGAAAGAAAAAGCAGCAGTTCCCCCAATGTTGTTCCAGCACAGTTTGAGTATAACATTGATAAATCAGCCATTTACAATTCTACTGTGCATAAAAACATGTTAATATCTCCCCTTTGGGATGGGAATGGTCTGAAGACACTTCAGTCAGTAAAACTGCCCTGGGGGTTATTCACGGGGTATGGAATGCGTTACTGACCCATAAACAGACATAAAATACAAAAACTTGACTCTAAAAAGGTAACACCCACAAATCAGAAAGAAGCATTTACTGAGTTTATTACTAGTTTCTTTTAAGAGGCATAGAGCATTTATTCAACCCAATTAAGCTAAGTACAAAAACATTTCTGAATCTGTTTCTCAATTTGCTAGAAATTAAGTGCTCGCTAGATGGAGATGGTTAAAAAGTCATGGTTTAAAAAGGCAGAAATGAAAAAAAGGGACCACCTTATTCTTTTTCAGTTTAGTTTTAGAAGGACAAAAGAAAACTGTGATAATTAGCAGACACAGATAAGCAAGTTACCTCCAAATGCTCATAATCCTGTCCGTACTCCTCTGAGGAGGCCGTCAACATCTGTTCCTGTATCCAAGCTTCGAACTCCTCCGCTTCGCGCATGTAGGCGTGCAGTCTCTTCGACTGCTCCAGGTTACGGCCTCGTTCCGCTGCCAGACGTTTCAGTTTGTTGAGGTTGTCCTGAAGTTGTTCCTGAGAGACCACGGAAGACAAAGGGAGAAAGTGAAACATGAAAAAGTGAAGACTGACTATTAGTTTTAGTAAAAGTTTTACGGCACTTGCAACACAATTAGGTCATATAAATAAGTGCCGAGGATTAGAGATGTTACAAGAGAGTAACTAACATAAAAAAGAAGGAGGAGTGATCATGACAATAGATGTTTGATATGAAAGAAGGAGCCCCACAAAGTGAAGACAGAGAGATTATGAACATTTAAAAGGTGAACAAACTGAGATAGTTAACAATGAGAAAGTGTGCCGTAAGAAACTTAACAATGAGAGACTGTGAACAAATAAAAAGTGAATGGGACAAAGTGACTGTCTCACGCCCCACATTATTATTATTGTTATGACTATTTTTATTATCATTATTATTATTGTTTGATATTGTCTTCTCCTCCAGTGTGGCGAAATGAGGCTGCGTCACATTGACTCACCTCATATTATACCAAACTCATAAAATTAAAAAAGAAAATTAATTTTGAAAAGGGCACTTCACAATTTGTTGGGTTTTTTAAAAGTATTTTCCAGATTTTCGTACATCACTTTGTGCTTCACTTTTTTAAAACAGTATTGAAATTTAAAAGGAATTCATATACTTTTAAAACAATAATAATTATCTACCACTGGAGTTTTGGAGGGGGGGGGTCATTTTATTTCTATATTTATGTATTTATTTATTTATTTGTTTATTTATTTATTTATTTATTTGTAACATCTGGCGTTTAAACGATTATTCTGGAACAAAATGTGGTGCATGTGGTTGGTGGGTGCTCTCGTGTGGTTTGCTCCTTTCGTATCAAACATCTATCATCCTGTTCTCTCCTCCTTCTTTTTATGTTTGTTAGTCTCTTGTAACACTTCTAATCTTCGATATTTATAGGACCTCATGTGTTGCAAGTGCCTTAAAACTTTTACTACTAAAACAAGTTCTGGCGCTTTTGTAATAAAATGTTTATTCGTCGGTGTCTGACTCTAAGTATCCACCAAATTAGACCAAAACCTCTGGCTGTCTCAAACTATGTTATTATTAGCTGGGCCCCCTTTTGATGAAAGGAATGATCGGTGCATTAGCATCAACTGAAAGTCATTGGCTTACTATATACTCTACTGGAATGGAGCAATAAATCTTGAGAGAAAAGTGACAATGTGTTTCAAAGTTGCCAAATATAATATAATAGATGTATAGATTGATTCTCTATTCCGCTATAGTAGTTGTACACTCCAGAAGTTCATAGGTGTGGAATCAGGGCGCAAGGCTAGTGAACGGAAACCTCGTTTGTTTACAATGGCGTCAAAGAAGACAGACTTTCCCAAGATTAGCTCTAAACAAAACTAATGAAAAACTTAAAATTAAACCACAGTGACTTCTGGCTCCTCAGTGAAACTGTGCACCCTTTAAATGATTCTGAACCAACATTTATTTTGTCAAATTCGAAAGTTAAGTAGTTCCGAAGTTTTAGGCGGCCAAAGTGATGAACTTTCAGAGATATAATATATAGAGATAGAGATTATTTGTAATTACAACTACTGATGCCATAATGAGTAGAAAGGAAACCTAAAACAAAACTTGAGCAATTCTGGACGATAATAAGAAAGAATTTTTTTTCAAAAAAAGGTTTTTGACCTAATTAGGCGATACACGGTTTAGAGACAGCCATTGACATTAAGAACAAAAGTGTGTGGCAATACGATAGAAATTCGGCGCTCATCAATGTTGGGGTATGTGAAATTATTGGTATCATCTTAAAACTTGTTCACTTGTCTTGCTTTCGTCAAAGTTCCGTGAAATCCAAAGATTGGGAGTCCATGGAAAATGAAGGGGTGCTTTTAATCAAGGGTTTTCAGTAAACTCCACACCGAAATATGGTTTTAAATGGACCGAAAATGGTAGTAAGCCAAAAACAGATTCGATAAAAACTGCCATACCAGATGGGATAATACCAGTTTCTTTGATTTCATTAATTTTGACGCACGGGTGACTTCACCGCAATGCCCCTCAAATAAAAGTGAAAGCGTACCGAAGAATTTCCTGGACGCAGGATGATGCTGACGATGAACACATAGACAGGATCCATCACTCTGTTGCATTTGTAGTCACTGGTCACGTTGTGAACTACCTCAATGTCCGAGGATGACCAGCCTATAGAATAAAAAGTAGTTAGTATTTACCATCATAAGCAGTCTTTTGTTGTTGTTGTCGTTGTTGTTGTTGTTGTTGTTGTTGATGATGATGATGATGATGATGATGATGATGATGATGATGATGATGATGATG